AAAAATCTTTCTTTTCTTTTTTTTTTTGCGTGTCTTTAATGAGCATCTGGCCTCTTTCCCCTGGCTGGCCGTGCCCTGCTCATGGTGTCCAGGGGCTGGGCTATTCCTGGGTGGCCACGATGCCCCTTGGCAGCCCCGAGCCTACATGCTGTGTTTCTGAACTTCAGGGCCATGTTCACGGGTGGCATGAGGGAGGCGAGCCAGGATGTCATCGAGCTGAAAGGCGTGTCAGCCCGTGGCCTGCGGCACATCATCGACTTTGCCTACAGCGCCGAGGTGACGCTAGACCTGGACTGCGTGCAGGACGTGCTGGGTGCGGCCGTGTTCCTGCAGATGCTTCCCGTGGTGGAGCTGTGCGAGGAGTTCCTCAAGGCCGCCATGAGCGTGGAGACCTGCCTGAACATCGGCCACATGGCCACCACCTTCAGCCTGGCCTCGCTCAAGGAGTCGGTGGATGCCTTCACCTTCCAGCACTTCCTGCAGATCGCTGAGGAGGAGGACTTCCTGCACCTGCCGCTGGAGCGCCTCGTCTTCTTCCTGCAGAGCAATCGGCTGCAGAGCTGTGCCGAGATCGACCTGTTCCGCGCCGCGGTTCGCTGGCTGCAGCACGACCCGGCCCGGCGGCCGCGCGCCAGCCACGTGCTCTGCCACATCCGCTTCCCGCTCATGCGGTCGTCGGACCTGGTGGACAGCGTGCAGCCGCTGGACATCATGGTGGAGGATGTGCTGTGCCGGCAGTACCTGCTGGAGGCCTTCAACTACCAGGTGCTACCCTTCCGGCAGCACGAGATGCAGTCCCCGCGCACGGCCGTGCGCTCGGACGTGCCCTCCCTGGTCGCCTTCGGCGGCACGCCCTACACGGACAGCGACCGCTCCGTCAGCAGCAAGGTGTACCAGCTGCCCGAGCCCGGTGCCCGCCACTTCCGTGAGCTCACGGAGATGGAGGTGGGCTGCAGCCACACGTGCGTGGCCGTGCTGGACAACTTCGTGTACGTGGCGGGCGGCCAGCACCTGCAGTACCGCAGCGGCGAGGGCGCGGTGGACGCCTGCTACCGCTACGACCCCCACCTGAACCGCTGGCTGCGGCTGCAGGCCATGCAGGAGAGCCGCATCCAGTTCCAGCTGAACGTGCTGTGCGGCATGGTGTATGCCACGGGTGGCCGCAACCGGGCCGGCAGCCTGGCCTCCGTCGAGAGGTACTGCCCGCGGCGCAACGAGTGGGGCTACGCCTGCTCTCTGAAGCGCCGCACCTGGGGCCATGCCGGCGCCTCGGCGGGGGGCCGCCTCTACATTTCGGGGGGCTACGGCATCTCGGTGGAGGACAAGAAGGCGCTGCACTGCTACGACCCCGCCGCTGACCAGTGGGAGTTCAAGGCGCCCATGAGCGAGCCCCGCGTGCTTCACGCCATGGTGGGTGCCGGCGGCCGCATCTACGCCCTCGGGGGCCGCATGGACCACGTGGACCGCTGCTTTGACGTGCTGGCCGTGGAGTACTACGTGCCTGAGACAGACCAGTGGACCAGCGTGAGCCCCATGCGGGCTGGCCAGTCAGAGGCCGGCTGCTGCCTGCTGGACAGGAAGATCTACATTGTGGGGGGCTATAACTGGCGTCTCAACAACGTGACGGGCATCGTGCAGGTGTACAACACAGAGACGGACGAGTGGGAACGCGACCTGCACTTCCCAGAGTCGTTCGCGGGCATCGCCTGTGCCCCCGTCCTGCTGCCCCGGTCAGGGACCAGGAGGTAGCTCCCGGGACCCGTGGGACCCGGCCCAGCCTCATGCCGTCTCTGCCAGGGGTTTTGGTGAGCGCACACCGGGGCTGAGGACCACAGAACCACCCCCCCGGCCCGCGGCCTGACATCTTGGGGCCTGCTGCGTCGATAAGGCTCCTCCCCCTGGGGTCCCTCCTTCCTTCCTGAAGCAGATCCTGGCTTCGTGCCCACCAGACAGAGGGAGCCTGCCGGCCCTGAGGCCGACATGTCATGGCAGCGGGGGTTTCCTCACCCGCCCCACATCCTCGCTCATGGAGGGAATCGGGGTCTCCTTTGGGGTGTTGTTGTGTGGCTTACGTCCCACTTCTCTCTCCTCCCCCAGCTCGGCAGTCTCAGACGCTCAGATGCAAGCTCATTAGCATCGAGCCCCAAACCCGTGGTTTGCACTCTGCCCCCTCCCAAGTTTCTTGCACTGTGCGTTTTTAAAAAATAAACACCCCCCAAACTCTGTAACACACAGACCTCCAGGAGCTGGTAAGGTGGCAGGGGTGCGCCCTGCTCAGGGTTGACTTCAAGGGTGGGCATGTTCCTGCCCCCAATAAGCCTGAGCCACCGGGGTGGGGAGGATGGCCTTGGACGAGGGTCTCGCGCTTATCTTCATTCCTGTTCCAACTCCCTCAACGTGTTCTGTCGTCCACTTTCAGAAGGAGAAAACACAGCCGGCTCTCAGAGAGGGTCCTTATGGTTTCCCAGCCTTCTATTTGGTGCTGGGCGTCTCAGGGGTCCTCAGTGAGGAGTGGGCCGACACGCTAGGGGGACACCTTTAGAATCTCTCAGTGTGTCTGCATTCCACAAGTCTGATGATTTTTATTTCTCTCCCTTTTTTCCAGCCCCC